CACACACACACACACACACACACAGACACACACACACACACACACACACACACGTGCCTATGATTTTGTGAGCACCTTCTCCAGCTGGGTTACTGCCTGTTCTGCAGTGCCGTGCACTCATCGGCAGTCTTGGAAGGATCTGCTGAGCTCCTCTGGGGGCTTCTCCCTCTCATATCCCTCCTCCCTGTTGGAACCTCCACCTGTTCTCTGGCATATGTGCATTAGCCAGCAGTGAATCATTTATCTTGTCTTACAACTGTTCTCCTGCCCCAGTGCCACAAGTGGGCAGGGACTTACCACCATCACTATGGTGCTTTGTTGTCTCTCAGGCCTCAGTGCTCAGCATCTCTACTCTCCTGGCCCTGCTCCTACACTCAGCTTGACCTTCAAGCAGAGAAGCCCTCCTCCACTGACCCAGACTCATTGTCTCTCCTTTCCTGCCTTGCCTGGCATCGCCATCCCCCCAGGGACTGGGACTGCTGCAGAGGGAGGCAGCAGTGGCCTGCACAAAGGTGCACACACCTATCACTCTTCTCTCTCTGCCTTTTCTCAGCAGTGATTTTTGCATCTGTCTGTCACCCTTTGTATTCCTTTTACCTCTTTTTTTCCTGTCCTCGCTGCCCAGGTCTCTGCTTCTATATTTCTCCATCTTGTTTATCTCTTGGCTATCTAGTCTTCTAATAGCTGTCTTTGTCATCTGTTCCCAGCCCCCTAACCCTGCTTCTCAGATTTTTCTGCTTCCTGCTGCCTCTTTCTCACTCTGTCTGTCACCCTTGGAAGACTGTGCCTTGGCTCCATCTGTGGAACATTTATTGCCCCCTTTGCCCTCCATCGTGCTGATGGGAGGTCAGGGCCTGCTGAGCTAACAACCTTAGTTCTCTCTATAATTGCCTGAGGAATGGTGAGAGATCAGAGACCCAGCAGCAGTAGAAAGGGAGACAGGAAAGTCCCCTCCCACCTGTCAAAGGCTTTTCAATCTTCTGGCTTCTTCCTGCCTGTCTCTGAGTACTCAGCACAGTGGCAACAGGGATGACAAATACTAGGAGACACAAAAATAAATTGAATGTGTGGTTATTAGGATGGATCCAGGATGAAACACATACAAGGGTAACACAATATCCCCACCCATTTCTCCTCACTTTGCATGTATACCAAACCCCATTCGGGATTATAGGTTTGGAAGAAAAATGAGGAAGTGGCTTGGTAGAAATGATCAGTTCAACACACTGAGCATCAAAGCATCCTCCCAGACAGGACAGTCCTTCTTTGAGTTTCCCTTGCTCCAGTCCCCACCCCCCTCAGACCAGGGCTTATAGCTCCCAAGGCTGTTGTTTGATCCCTTGCTCTGTGATCTGAGTCTCCTACTGCTTCCTACAGGCCTTGAAGTCCAGACTGAGGCTGCCTAGGCTGCCTGGCCCTGCTAACACAAGCTTTGTTGGGGGAGGTGTTAGTAAAACAAAACCACTCTTCTATTCCATTTTGGTCCCCAGCTCAGATCTTGCAAGTTTGGATTGATTATCCATTTTCCACATCCTAGTGTTTAAGTCATTCCCTTGGCCTCCAGGCCAGCCATGTTAACCCAGTCTGGTGCTCTGCCACCCTCACCAGCTTTGAAGGGCAAGACTACAAGCTGACTGCTACTCTCAGATCACCCCCTGGGGTGAAATTGATTTATGACTCTTGGCTGTCCTGATGCAGTTCAGATGCCTTAACATAGTATTCCAGGACTCTTGACCTACCTTTTGGGTGTTCTAATTTTCTTTTATATTTATTAATTTATATGTGTTTATGCCATGATGCTCACTTGAAAATCAGAGAACAGTTTGTGGCAATCAATTCTCTCCTTCCATTTTATGGGTTCCAGGATCAAATTCATGTCATCAGGCTTTACCTGACAAGCATCTTTACTCACAGAACCATCTTATCAGCCCCACTTACTTGATTATTTACATTTGGGTGTTCTAGATGAGGCCCTCTACTTTGATAATATACTGGTTGGATGGATTTATTGAGGACATCCACATTGGGGTTCACAGCCTCTAGCTCAGTCACCCAATACTAGCTCTTCCTTTGTCTGCATGTTCATTTGTTCAATACCCTTGCCTCTTTCATACCTTTTATTATGTCAGTAAAAGTGGCCTGTTTTCATGCAAGTCTATTTCCTCTCCTGAATCTTGTCTTGGACCCCCAGTCTCTGGGACCCCTCTGCATCCAGAGAAACACACCTGGAATGTCTTTGTCTTAAAGTGGATGATCTAGCAGATGAACTCTGAAGACTGAAAACAAACAAAGAAAGAAAAGAACCAGGTGCTGAGACTACCAGACATGACAGATGTCAGAAACACTATTTTGGAAATGTTCCATAGCTTTCCATGATCCTGTCTTGACCCTGGCCTGGAACTTGTAGTAGCAGGAGGCCATAGCTCCCACTATTTCCCTCTGGGGGCAGAAGAGTAGCAAGTGAGTGCTTTCTTCTTTTTCTCCAAGTTCTTCAGAGCAGACTTCATTTGTCATTCTCTCTTCCTTCCTTAGTCTGTTCTGTGAAATACAGCTATCTTGGGCCCATTTCCTCTTTTCCTATCCTGTTTCCCAAGCCTCCAGCTTGTAGATACAAACAGCTCTCAGGGGTCAGTCAGCTCTTGTCATGTATAAAATGGCACAAATAGACATATAAATGTATGCACATCATCCTTTATAATATTTTTAGCATGAGGACTTGACTTTATTATTAATTTGTTTGCTTGCTTGCTTGCTTGTTTTGTTTTTTTTTGACAAGGTTTCTCTGTGTAACAGCCCTGGCCATCCTGGAACTTTATTTGTAGACCAGGCTGATCTTGAACTCATAGAGATCCTCCTGCCTCTGCCTCATGAGTGCTGGGATTAAAGGCATGCACCACCAACATCCGTCTTAGTCAGATCTTGGAAAGATAACAATGAAACTACAAGCAAAGTTCTTTACACACTTGTAGGCGTCATAGGGATTCATCCTCCACAGGCACTTTCAGACACACAAAAAGCTAGTAGCTACACACTGGTTCCTCCTGACACACACCAACAACATATGCTTGTGCATGTACATGCATAGCCACATAAGTGCTCCCCACATGCAGATCTGAATCCACACACATGTCCTTGGACACCTGCTTACAGGTATATTAAGACACACATGGCTGATGGTAACCACAGGAGGCGGGGTTAATTGGGGCAACAAGTTGGTGCTGGCGAGGCAACTGGCAGGAAAGCACAGACCAAGAGAAAGGAATGAAAGGGAATCTGGAGTTCCAACCAAGGTGGTCTCTTACAGGTTTCCCCTTCCAAGGTGGAATTGTTTGTGTAAAGAGGGGAGAGGAAGAAAGGTGGGGGAAAGTTACAAGCTGGGGGCAGGACTGACAGTGAGGCCAAGATGTTAGTCACCAATGGCCCATTCCATCCACTCCCTTCCTCTCTCCTCCCCCACTCTCTTCCCTTCTTTCAGTGCCCCCCCATTGTCAGCAGCTACCGCTGTAACCCAATCACTAACCCCCTTCCCTCTGGCAGGAGGGTGAGTGGAATCTGGCCAGCTGTGCCTCACCTAGCCTCTGCCCTACCAGGAAGATGGTCGTGGCTCTTCGGTACCTGTGGCCTCTACTCTTCTGCAGCCCCTGCCTGCTCATACAGATTCCTGACGAATGTGAGTAGCTTGAGGGGGTTTCAGCACCTCCTATCACTGCGGTGCTGAGCCCTTCTTCATCTTCTGCCTCTTCACTTTCTCCCCATTTTTAAGCCTCACTCCTTCTTTAGCACTGGGTGGACAAGAGGCACCCAGGACACTTTACCTTTAGAAGGACCAGGAAGAAAGTGTGGGGTGTGTCAGCACCGTGGACAGGGACATGCATGCTTCCAGCACCACGGACAGCAGACAGTGGAAAAGACTAACTGGGACCTTAACCCTGCTCTCTAGCATGCACACCCCTTCCTAGCCCACTCTATTTTGTGCTTCTATTCCCTCCAAACACACCGCAGGAATGTGGCAGCCAGGAGAATGGGCAGTCCTAAGATCTCAGATCTTTCCCATCTTGGGCCCTGGGTAACCTTATCTCTTAATTGAGACATGAAAAGACACCTTGAAAACACCAGGTCTTAACTGCCTTCTGGATAGTTTATGGTGTGTAATTATTTGGAGGCAATGGGGAAGGGCTAAAACGTGCATCTGTGATGCTTGGGGAGCATCACAGGTAAGTGTGTGACTATTGTGGACTTTAACTGTAGAGTGGGACTAATCTTTTGAGTTGGGTTGTGTGTTTTTAATGTGTATAATGTGTGTATTTTGACTGACTAGATGACTGTTGCTGGATATGATTTTAATTTCCTATTTGAGTATGTTTGTGAGTCACTCTAACTTATTTAGGGGTCAAGTTTGTGGAAATGTGGTGGTATTTGACTATAATGTATCTTTGTAGTGGGCTGGGTATATGGATGAATAGAGTATGTTTGCATATGAGGAGTATTTTTACTGTGATGGATTTCCTCCCAAGTTTTAGTAAGAGTTGTGGGCACATTACTGTAAGTGTTTGTAATACTGTAGGAAAGAACATTTCAAAAAGTACCAAATATGATGGTGTTTATGCATATTGAGTTGCCAGGCTTTAATCCCTGTCCACTTTGTCATCTTTGTCTCTGAGTCTGGACACAAAGAGAGACAAGCTCCAGAGCAGAGGTGGGGAAGACAGTGCCAAGAATGGGATAGGAGCCAAGAGAGGTGAGCTTTGGAGGAGGTAAAGAGAGACTGGTGGCATATAGATTGAGGCTACTCCCTTAGACACTCTTAGAGGTCCCTACACCCATTCTGTATCCACCAGAGTTGCTTAGGGACTTACAAGTGTGGTTGGAAATATGAGCCAAACAATTGTTCCAACTAGGCACAGAGATGTGAATGGAACGGGACACAGCAATAGAGACACACATAGGCAGAAATTTACACTTAAAGGAGCAGTTATCTATAGACATAAAGGAGAAGTTAGGTATATAGACATGGGAGCTATATACACAACACTGTGCACTGAGATATAAGCAGACACAGACAAGTCTGCATGTGTGCTCTATTAAGGCCTGGGCATATACACCTACACCAGCAGACACTGGATATGAACATTCCAGGACATCCACACTTGTGGCAGACCCCAACTTTTGTACATTCACAAACATGTAGTGGTCCTTCTTCCCTCTTTGCCTTTCACTTGTTTTTCCAGGTTTGCCTCTTAATCTGAAATGCCAAGGCCTTATGCTGGGTATCAATCAACCTGTCCTGCTGCCAGATGGACTAGTCCATCTTGCCTGGGTGTGTCTCTGTGTGGTGGGGGGGCAGGGAGAATTTAGAAAAAAGTGGCAGTGAGGATAGATAAGTAGGCCAGAGATCACAGGAGATCTGAGACTGTCCTAGGCAATGACTAGCCCTTGGTACTGACTCTTATATGACACAGCAGGCAGCTGTGCTGCCTTCATATTGAGACCTGCCCTCCATCTCTTCCCCAACCTCTTCAGGTCCCTTTGTCTCTCTTGTTTCTTCCACTTAGTTAATTCCCCTCATCCTGTCACTGCTGTCACTCTCTTGCTCTCAAATTGGCTCCTTCCCAGCTCATAGACCTCTGTGGTGTTCTTAGGGAGTCCCTTTTTCTCTTCTGGGGGCCTATGCTGAAGCTGAAGTCTTTTGCAGAGACAAAGCTTTCAGAGCCTGTTCCCTTCCCTCCCCTCCCCTCCATCCCTCTTCTGCTCGGTTGAGACCTGGGGTTGGGACACCTCCTCTGCCCAAGGGAGTTTGGTAGCCTCCTGGGAGGGAGGAAGGCCAGAAAGGGCTGGCACAGGTCCTGTGGGCTATGGAGATTCAGATGCTGGCAGGCTTTGGGGAGGTCTTGAAGAGGAGGGGCGTCAGGCTCTGAAGGCTGGGCCTTCCTAATTGAAAACACTGAGCTGCACTAATTAGATTAGAAGGAAAGTGGGCTGGAGCAGGGGATGGGTGCTAGTTGCCAGGATGTCTGCCTCCAAACCTTCCAAGGCATCTTGGGAGAAGAGGTTAGTTCTGTGGGCACTACCCAACCTTGCCAGGCACTATAATAGCACTCTTTTGTTTGGTTGGTTAGCTGGTTTGTTGGTTTTTCAAGACACAGTGTCTCTGTGTAACCCTGGCTGTCCTGGAACTCTATTTGTAGACCAGACTGGCCTTGAACTCATGGAGATCCACATACCTCTGCCTCCCAAGTGCTGATATTAAAGGCATGAGCCACCACCACCCAGCTCTGAGCACTCTTCACTAAAGGCAAAAGTTCTGTATTTCTGGACCTACAAATCCTGAGTCTCTTCTTAGACATTGTGCCATCCAGAGATTCTGTCCAGTGCTTCCTGAGTTTGACCTGCCATTGCTCAGCCCAGCATGTGCCCTGTTATTACCACCACAATAACCCTTCTACTTCTCTTCTCCATGGGAGTCTGCTCCAGCTTGCTTCTCCTGCCATCAGGCCCTATTAGGACTACTCTCAGCATTTCTCTCCCTTCTCTCCCTTGCTGTCTGGATTCTCAGATAAAGGACACTATGGTAAGTTGGAGGTGTGGGAGTGTGTACTTGAAGGCCATAAACAGAGGGAGGAGGGGCCTTGGGATGAGCCAGAACACCTCTGTTCTGCATATTGGTGGACACTTAGCTTTCTTATGGTGTTGTAAATGGATGTGGTTGGGGGCTTTTTGTGGCTCAGATCCCCTGTCCCTTAACTCAATCCAGAGGCTCCTCTTGGCTTCTTCTCTCACCTGAGTTTAGCATCTTTACTCTGTCTCTGTTTCTGCTAGAGTTTCTTCCATTCTCACACTGCTTCTGTCTATTGCCGTGTCTGTGGTGCCATGCCTTCCCACTAGGAATTGCTCTTCGGTTTGGGATTGTGTGTGTGTGTGTGTGTGTGTGTGTGTGTGTGTGTGTGTGAAGGGTTAAAGACAAGGTTTCTGTGTGGTTTATGGAGCCTGTCCTGGAACTCACTCTGTAGACCAGGCTGGCCTCAAACTCACAGAGATCCACCTGCCTCCCAAGTGCTGGGATTAATTATGTGCACCACTACAACCAGACTGGAATTGTCCTTGCTTTACTCTTTTTTCTTTCTTTTTTGTCTCTCTTGACATTTTATTCTTTCTGTCTCTCTCATTCAAGTAGTAACCAGGGCTACTTAGCTTCTGAGAGCAGGTGCATTTGGAATGATATGGTCATACACTATTCTCTTTGTCTCTGTCTCTCTGTCTCTTTGTGTATTTGTTTCTCTGGCTCTCGCTTTCTTCTCTGTCCTTTCTCTAACTTCTTTTTTTTTTTTGAAACAGGGTTTCTGTTTGTAGCTTTGGAGGCTTTCCTGGAACTGGTTCTGTAGACCAGGCTGTCCTCAAACTCAGAGAGATCCATGTGCCTCTGCCTCCCTAGTGCGGGGATTAAAGGCGTGCACCACCACTGCCTGGCTATTCCTAAGTATCCTTTTTTTTTTTTTTTTTGGTTTTTTTTTTTTTTTTTGAGACAGGGTTTCTCTGTGTAGCTTTGGAGCCTGTCCTGGCACTCGCTCTGGAGACCAGGTTGGCCTCAAACTCATAGAGATCCCCCTGCCTCTGCCTCCCAAGTTCTGGGATTAAAGGTGTCCGCCACCACCACCCAGCTCTTCCACTAACTTCTATTGCTGTCTTTTCTCTGTCCCTCACTGACTCCTCAGTGACTCCTTGTGTCTCTTAGCTTTTCCATATCTCCATATCCTCAGTGGCCATGGGATTTTTGCGAGTCCTGCTATCCTCAGGATGAGACAGGGGTTGAGGCCATGGTACCAACCAGACATAAATTTTCCCATTTTTCTTATTTTGTTTCCAGTGATGGAACCACCTGTCATTACGGAACAGTCTCCACAGCGCCTGGTTGTCTTCCCAACAGATGACATAAGCCTTAAATGTGAGGCCAGAGGCAGACCCCAAGTGGAGTAAGTGGCCCTCCCCTTCTGAGCCTCTGTTGCTGACTGCTGACCTCAGCCTCTAGCCCACAGGGTTAGAGGCTAACTTCCAAGTCTAGAAGCCTCAGATCTGGGATGTAACCCCAAGTCCTTGCCCACCCTCGGCCCACCCCCTGGGGCTCCCTGGCTTCTTGAACCTTCAGCCCTATCCTGTTACAGCATGTTTTTGTTGCCAGGACCTCTCATCCATGCTCTGCCCACAGGTTCCGGTGGACGAAAGATGGCATCCATTTCAAACCCAAGGAAGAACTGGGTGTGGTGGTGCATGAGGCACCCTATTCTGGCTCATTCACCATCGAAGGCAACAACAGCTTTGCCCAGAGGTTTCAGGGCATCTATCGCTGCTATGCCAGTAATAAGCTAGGAACTGCCATGTCTCACGAGATCCAGCTTGTGGCTGAGGGTATGAGGCACTGCAGGGCCAGAGAGAGCTTGGAATACCTGAGAGGAAGTCCTTAGATACCTGGGGCTGGGTGGGGGCCAAGCTGGCAATCACTGTCATCTCAGCTGGTTGTGTGGTGATCGAATTGCCTAGGTACCCTCGCAGCCCTCACTCCACCCCAGCTGCCCTCATTGTCTCTTCTTCTTTTCTCTATTAGTATACTCCATCTTCTCACCCTTTATCCACTGAACTTCTGGTTACCTCATTGCTCCTTCCCTCTCTGTCTTTCTCAGTGTGATTGATGCTGGTGGGCTGGGGGCTGTGGATTGGTTGAATAGGTGGGTGACTGCCTCATGGTCTAGTTTGCCCTTCTGTCCTCCCACCTGTCTCTGTCTGAGTCAGGCCTTGGCTTGGGTTTTATGGCTGTTGTTTCTGCCTGGGTTCCCCTTCTACTTCCTACCTCATCTCTGTCCATCTGTGTCTTTCATCTTCCCTTGGCTTTCCTTCTTTGGTCTATGCTGCCTTCCACTCCTTGTGCATCTCTAACTTGACTTCTCCATCCCTCTAGTTCCTAGTTCCTGTTATAGGGCTCTGTCTGTATCTGTGTCACCCTTTCCCTGGGGTTTTCCCTCTACATATCATCCTCCCTGAGCTTTCTGCCTCCTGAGCACTTTCCCCTCCCTTCCCTGTCCCTTTAGTTACCTTGGGAACCGTTGCCATGGTTTCCTATGTCAAGATGATGGAAGGGTCTGTGACTCGCCGCATCCCTTCACAGATCCCCTCCCCCACTGCTGCACCTCAGCCTCCCCCTACTGTTCTTGTCTTTTCCTCAGGGTGGGTGGGTGAGCTGAGAATTGTGGTGGATTAACCCTTCTTGGCCACTTGGCCTCCTGCCCACCATCTTTTTGCTGTGGAGCCCCCATCTCCACTGTGAGCCTCAGAGGCAGAATTTTTGCCTCCCTTTATGTGAACTTACACCTGGCTCTTTTACACCCTTGCGAATCACCAAGACAGTTCTCCCTCCTTCTTGTCTTCAACTGTTTTGACCAGGATGAGAGTGCCAGCCTCTGTCCTTTCTAGGTGCCCCCAAGTGGCCGAAGGAGACTGTAAAACCCGTGGAAGTGGAAGAAGGGGAGTCAGTAGTTCTGCCTTGCAACCCTCCACCCAGTGCAGCCCCACTTAGGATCTACTGGATGAACAGCAGTGGGTGTCAGAAGGAGCTGCTGCCTGGGACACAGGGGTTGGGACTGGGGAGTCTTCTCAGACAGATTCTCACCTCCATCTCCTTATCCTTTCTTCTGCAGAGATTTTGCACATCAAACAAGATGAGAGGGTGTCCATGGGACAGAATGGAGATCTGTATTTTGCCAATGTGCTTACCTCAGACAATCACTCAGACTACATATGCAATGCCCACTTCCCTGGGACCCGGACCATCATTCAGAAGGAACCTATTGACCTCCGGGTCAAGCCCAGTGAGTCTCAGAAACTTTGACAACTCTGTCCCACTCTTTCCTTGATTTCCAGCCTGACCCCCAAGAAAAGGGTCACACAACCCCAAACATCCTCAAATGCAGCATGGCTCTCAACTTTATGCACTGAGAGACCCTCCCTTCCCAGGTGGTGAAGGCAGAGAGGGACATGCTTTTTTTTTTTTTTTTTTTTGAAACAGAGTCTTACTCTGTACCCTTCGCTGGCCTAGAACTTGCTACATAAAGAATGGCCTCAAACTCATGGAAATCTGCTTCCACTTCCCAGGTGCTGGGATTGCAGTCATGTGTTACCACACACTGCTAAGACACACCTTAAGAATTACTTTTACTCTATAGCCCAAGCTGGCCTTGAACTCATGATTCTTCTACCTCGAATTCATAAGTAGATGCTGATATTACAGGTATGGCCACCACACCCATCAGGCATCCTTTTTTTTTTTTCTAGAACCCAGTGACTCTTGGAAGTTAGGCAAACTTTTACCACTGAGCCATATTACAGCCATTGTTTTTAACATAGCAACAATCAAAGGCTTAGGGGCCCACTGGGATGTCCGAGTCCTCCAAGTCTGCTGACTCACTCACTCCCTTTCTCCTGTTAGCCAACAGCATGATTGACCGGAAGCCACGCCTGCTGTTCCCCACAAACTCCAGCAGCCGCCTGGTAGCCTTGCAGGGGCAGCCATTGATCCTGGAGTGCATTGCTGAGGGATTGTGAGTGTGGGCTTCTAGGGTAGAGGGCTGGGGCTGGAAGGCCTCAGCAGGCTTCGGCCTTAGGACTGAGTGGCTTTGTCATCTCTCCCTTTTCTCCCTTGGCACTGTAACTCTGGGTAGCCCTACACCCACCATCAAGTGGCTGCACCCCAGTGATCCTATGCCAGCACACCGTGTTATCTACCAGAATCACAACAAGACCCTACAGCTACTCAATGTGGGTGAGGAAGATGATGGCGAGTATACCTGCCTTGCTGAGAACTCACTGGGCAGTGCACGACATGCCTACTATGTTACTGTGGAAGGTATGGGCCTGGTACACCCTTTCCCAGCCATGGGCTCCTAAGAATGGCTTCTAGATGGCCTGCAATGTCTAATATCACAGGAGAGGGCAGGCCCTGCACTTAGGGCCAGAGCAGACTTCAGGCTCAGGCATCTCTTTCCTTCCGCTCAGCTGCTCCATACTGGCTGCAGAAGCCCCAGAGCCATTTGTATGGGCCAGGAGAGACTGCCCGCCTAGACTGCCAAGTCCAGGGCAGGCCCCAGCCAGAGGTCACCTGGAGTATCAATGGAATGTCTATGGAGAGTAAGCAGGGCCTCGAAAGTGGTCTGGTGTGTGGGAAATATAAGAAAACATTAAGAGGAGGGTGATGAGGGGTCTCAGCACAACTCAATGTTCTGACCTGGGCCTTTGGTCTCTGCCTGTTGCACACAGAGGTGAACAAGGACCAGAAGTACCGGATTGAGCAGGGGTCTCTGATCCTGAGTAATGTGCAACCAAGTGACACAATGGTGACCCAGTGTGAGGCCCGCAACCAGCATGGGCTCCTGCTAGCCAATGCCTACATCTATGTTGTCCGTGAGTGCAGTGCTGGTTGCCTTCCCTCCCTCTGTCCCTTTCCCCCACCACCACCCACTTGCCTATCTTTGCCTCATAGCTCCTAGTCTGTCTCTCCAGTTCATCAAAATTACTCAGCTAGCAACTGGTGGGGAAATAGCTTCTTGAGGCTGCCTTGCTCCTTGCTAAGGCCTTCACCGCATTTCTTCATCCTCACAATAGTTGGGAGTGGGCGTTATAGTATGGACAGGGTCTTGTCATCATGTCTAAACAGAGGTGTACCCTGGACAAGATGTAACCCAGGATATTCTGATGATTTCTGTCACAGAGACTCAGAAATTGTGGAGTGGGCAGGGAAGGCTTTGGGTAAGACACCGATTGCTCTTTGAGCATCCAATAATTGATAGAATTCAGGTGGCTGGAGTACATGAAAGGATAAGGAGACCATGCAACCAAGGCTGAGAGGAACAGCCTAGAATGGGGAAGCCAATGATCATGGCTCCCAAAGGTCTGTGTGTGGCATCTGGGAAATCACTGGCTTCTCCCATACTTGGGACCTCTAGACCCACACCTTCTCCTGAGACTATTCTTCTCCTAGAGCTGCCAGCCAGGATCCTAACGAAAGACAACCAGACATACATGGCAGTAGAGGGCAGCACCGCTTACTTGCTGTGCAAGGCCTTTGGAGCCCCTGTTCCCAGTGTCCAGTGGTGAGTGCCCATCCCATGGAGGCTTCTAAGCTATTTTCTCATCTAAAGATCCAAGGAGGGCAGGGAGGTCAGGCTGGTTAGTTCAAGACAGGCCCTCTGCTTGCTCTAGGCTGGATGAGGAAGGAACCACAGTGCTTCAAGATGAACGTTTTTTCCCCTATGCCAATGGAACCCTGGGTATCAGAGACCTTCAGGCAAATGACACTGGACGCTATTTCTGCCAGGCTGCCAATGACCAGAACAATGTGACCATTTTGGCTAATCTGCAGGTTAAAGGTTAGATGATACCCACACATGGCTGTTATACCTCCTGGGAGGTAAGGTCAAAGTCTGTGGAGACCATCAGAGTAACCTTCCCTCCCTTTTGCTCCCCTCAGAAGCAACCCAGATCACAGAAGGGCCCAGGAGTGCAATTGAGAAGAAAGGTGCAAGGGTGACGTTCACGTGTCAGGCCTCTTTTGACCCCTCTTTGCAGGCTAGCATCACTTGGCGTGGAGATGGGAGAGACCTCCAGGAACGTGGGGACAGTGACAAGTGAGGATCCCCAGCCCCAAACTGGGCTAGGTAGAAGGGAGCACAGTGAGAAAAATAGAGTTAGATCACCTAGCTGCATCCTGCTCAGAGGGGGAACATGGTGGGACAAGGAAAACGGCCAGGAAAGGCAGGGAAAGTAGTACATCTGCCACTAGCCAAGGGGTATTTGTGACCCCCTCCACAGATATTTCATAGAAGATGGGCAACTGGTCATCCAGAGTCTGGACTACAGTGACCAGGGCAACTATAGCTGTGTGGCCAGCACTGAATTGGATGAGGTGGAGAGCAGGGCACAGCTCTTAGTGGTGGGTAAGTCCTAATATAGTATTAGGTACAAAGGGTACCTACCTTCTGGCCTGCCATGACCAGGCTTCTGTTGCTGGACATTCTGAGTTGGGGGTAGGGGCATGTGGATGGTTCTTGAGGATGCCGGAGAGTCCACCGTCCATGCAAAACCACCTTCTGTGGCCCTCAGGGAGCCCTGGACCTGTGTCTCACCTAGAGCTGTCTGACCGCTACCTGCTGAAGCAGAGCCAGGTGCACTTATCTTGGAGCCCTGCTGAAGACCACAACTCTCCCATCGAGAGTAAGAAACCAGAGTGTGGTATTCCCTGTACTGTCCCTGACAGCTCTCCCTCTTCCTAGGACCCTCCTCTCTTCTAGAACCATAGTCACAGGATGGCCTGTGTCACTGAGGCACAAGCTTGTTTTCCAGGGGGCTCCTGTTCCTTTACAGCACCTACCTCTCTATTGCCGTCCTCACTAAGCTACACGATATGCTCATTACTCCACTGTGGGTTTGGTTCTTGGCAGAGTATGACATTGAATTTGAAGATAAGGAAATGGCTCCTGAGAAATGGTACAGTCTGGGCAAGGTGCCAGGAAATCAGACCTCTACTACCCTTAAGCTGTCCCCCTATGTCCACTACACCTTTCGGGTCACTGCCATCAACAAATATGGCCCTGGGGAACCCAGCCCTGTGTCTGAGACTGTGGTCACACCTGAGGCAGGTAAGCCAAGGGAGCACCCTTTTCCAGATTACGTGGAAGGGGTGCCAGTCATTGGATTGCAGTTTCTGTGGGGAGGATCTGAAGAAGTGTTGTGTCCATACCCTCTGCTTCCAGAGTTAAGGACAACGGCAGCAGTGTTGGAGCTGCTGTCTTATTGCTTCATGGGTCAGAGTGGACCATTTGTTCCTTGTCCTTGCTGCAGCACTGATAGGTTAACACATTACTTTCCAGCCCCAGAGAAAAACCCTGTGGATGTGAGAGGGGAAGGGAATGAGACCAACAACATGGTCATCACATGGAAGGTGAGGGTCCCTACCCTGATTTACATTATGGACATGAAGGCAGGACCCAGCTCTTCGCTGTCCCTTGACTGTCCTACAGAGGAATCCAATGCCTGGGGGACAAGGCACAGAAGGTGGGAGCTCTTGGCCAATGGGTTTCTTTTCTGCTGTCCTCCTCCAGCCCCTCTGGTGGATGGATTGGAATGCTCCCCAGGTTCAGTACCGTGTGCAGTGGCGCCCACAAGGCAAACAGGAAACCTGGAAGGAACAGACCGTGAGCGACCCCTTCCTGGTGGTGTCTAATACTTCCACCTTTGTGCCTTATGAGATCAAAGTCCAGGCAGTGAACAACCAGGGCAAGGGCCCTGAGCCCCAGGTCACCATTGGATACTCGGGAGAAGACTGTGAGTACTAGAGTGGGGCTGGGCTCACCGTGGGGCATGGAGACTGGTGGCCAGAATCCTCATCCATGTCAGTCTATGCACATCTGTATTTCACTCCTCACTTGCCATTGCCAGCCCCCACCTCTCAGTGCCTCAGTATACAATTCCTACACACAAGGGCATGCATTCCCATAGCTATTGCAATGTTAGGAAATTCTGCACAGCTCAAATTGCTGCATTTCTGCCATTAACAGAAAAAATAACCACTATTCCAGCACTATCTTTGATAGCATGCCCTGTCTCTGGTACAGGGAATATTTTGTATATACTGAGAATTACTCATCAGAAAATACCAACTCTGAGATTGGAAATGAAATATGGCACCCTAAGTGGGAAATTCCACACTTGACTTTTTGTGTTGGATCAGTAAAAACACAGGCTTGCTAAAAATAGTGTAGTATATATAGAGCTGGGATGCAGTTCATTTGGTAGAGTGCTTGCCTAGCATACATGAAAGCTGGATTGGATCCCTAGCACCATATAAAGCAAGCATGGAAGTGCACACCTGTATCCCAGCACATAGGTAGTGGCAGGAGGACTGGAAAGTTCAAGACCATCCTTAGCTACACATATAATTTGAGGCCAGCCTGGGCTCCAGGAGTCCAAGACAGCCCTAAATACAGAGAGAAATCCTGTGGATTTAGTCTTAGAACCCATCCTCAAGGTATCTCAATATGTATATGCAAATACTCTAAAATATAAACAAATCCAACTCACTTCACTCCAACCATGTCACCTAAGAGCTAGTTACCAGAGCAAGTCCCCATGCCTTGTGGGTTTTCTTGAGTCTGGAGCATCACCAAACAGTAATTTTGCGTATCCACTTAGGATTTTTTGGTGTGATTTCTCTGTATAAGCTACTGCTTTCTTCCTGAAGAGCACCATTCCTCACTGAATAGTCCCTTGTGTAGCATGCAGCCCACTTTCCTGTGAGAAGGAGTCTGGCCTGGCTCAGGTGAGGGCCTGTGTCTTCTCCAAATAACTGGCTATTTTCAGACCCCCAGGTGAGCCCTGAGCTGGAAGACATCACAATCTTCAACTCAAGCACTGTGCTGGTCAGGTGGAGGCCTGTGGACTTGGCCCAGGTTAAGGGCCACCTCAGGGGATACAATGTAAGACCTTAGGATATGGGGAAAGCTAAAGAGGGATATGATAGGATTAAGGATGTCATCTGTGATCAGCTCTCCTGAAAGTTCTTTGGTTGGGGGAAAAGGGTCTATGACAACAGTGGTAAGGATCATGTATTGGAGGTTCTGTTGGATGACTTCTGCCCTTATGAGGTGTGTTGACCATCTATACAGGTAACATTCTGGTGGAAAGGCAGTCAGAGAAAGCACAGCAAGAGGCATGTCCACAAAAGCCACATGGTTGTGCCTGCCAACACCACTAGTGCAATCCTCAGTGGCTTGCGTCCTTACAGCTCTTATCATGTGGAGGTGGGGGCCTTTAATGGGCGGGGTTTGGGACCTGCAAGTGAATGGACCTTCAGCACCCCAGAGGGAGGTGAGTCTGACACCTCACCCTCTACCTATATCCCCTGCTCCTTCTCCTTGGACTCAGGTGAAGACCTGCTACCCTTCTGTGCTTCCACAGTGCCTGGCCACCCTGAGGCATTACACCTAGAGTGCCAGTCGGATACTAGCCTGCTACTGCACTGGCAGCCACCACTCAGCCACAATGGAGTGCTCACTGGTTACCTGCTCTCTTATCACCCCTGTACGTGTACTGTGCCTGGTGTGGAGGCTGGGAGACTCAGAAAGGCCCCTGAGCTGGAAAGCCAGCTCCTTGTTTCTCTCCACAGTGGATGGGGAAAGCAAAGAGCAGTTGTTCCTCAACCTTTCGGACCCAGAGCTCCGGACTCATAATCTCACCAACCTCAACCCTAATCTGCAGTACCGCTTCCAGCTTCAGGCCACCACCCAACAGGGCCCTGGTGAGGCCATTGTGCGTGAAGGAGGCACCATGGCCCTGTTTGGTGAGCTGGAACAAGGGTTTTGGGGATGTTAGTTTTGGGGTTTTCCCTGTGCTTAACCTGGGGAGGAGATTGACTGGGAGGCTAAGCTCAGGAGAGTGGGCCTTTGAAGGGCCTTGTGGTCCACCTCTGCTCCTACATTCTCCAGGCAAGCCAGATTTTGGCAACATCTCCGCCACAGCAGGTGAAAACTACAGCGTGGTCTCCTGGGTCCCTCGGGAGGGCCAGTGCAATTTCAGGTTCCACATCTGGTTCAAAGCCTTGCCAGGTGAGTGCAGAAATATCCCTGGGGCAAGTAACCAAGGCTTTGTTCCCTGACCCCAAGGTGTCCCCAGTCTTCCTGCTAAGTGCCTCTGTCATTGTGCCTAAACTTTGCAGAAGGGAAAGTAAGCCCTGATCGCCAACCTCAGCCTCAGTACGTAAGCTACAATCAAAGCTCCTACACACAGTGGAACCTACAGCCTGATACCAAGTATGAGATCCACCTGATGAAGGAAAAGGTGGTCCTTCACCATCTGGCCGAGAAAACTAATGGCACTGGTGAGGCACTGGGGCCACCATCTTCTGCCGGGAAGCCTTGGGCACCTCTGCAGGGTTTGTTGCATGCAGCCCTTAGCAGCTCTTTTGCCTCTCCAAAATCTGGGTTTGCTTTGGCCAATGTATCTTTCCCTACACCGCCTACAGAGGGCTCTCTTCCATCTCTCCTCTTCTGCTACTGTAGCACCTTCTGGCCCCAGAGGGCCCCCTGTAGCTTCAAGTGAGTCTGAGCACCAGGCCCTAACTCAGAGGCTGCTGCTCATTCTTAGGAATGTAGGGTGCCCCTTGAGTTCAGAACTCATCCCAGGGTGTGGACTTTGTCTTCTTCTCATGCTGTGCCTTCAGGCCCCGTGCGAGTTTCTACTACAGGTAGCTTCGCCTCTGAGGGCTGGTTCATCGCCTTTGTCAGTGCTATCATTCTCTTGCTCCTTATCCTGCTCATCCTCTGCTTCATCAAACGCAGCAAGGGAGGCAAGTACTCAGGTAACTCTGGAAAATATACAAGTTTGGGTAGGGTGCTACAGCTGAGGGTAGAGAAAAATTACCTTGCCCCAAGGGCCCAAGCTTGGGAGTGGCAGGACAAACATAGTCATAGAGGTGGGGTGCAGGCCAGAGGCCAAGGCTGTATTCTTTCCAGCCTGGAGCCACAGAGGCCTATGCCAGTGTCAGCTGCATCCACATGGGCTGGGTGGGTCACTCTGAAGGCTTCTAAGTGCTGTCAAGACAGTGCTGGGGGCTCTCAGCACAAAGGAACCTAGAATCTGAGGGCAGACAGAAGTTGACTCCTGGTATGTCTGTAGTGAAAGACAAGGAGGACACTCAGGTGGATTCTGAGGCCCGGCCCATGAAAGACGAGACCTTTGGCGAGTACAGGTGAGCAGGGAAAGGAGCAGGGGTTGGCCCAGCTCTGCCTGACCTTTGCTTCTTACTCAACTCCTTTCTCTTTCCTGTGCTTCGGGGTGACTTCAGGTCCCTGGAAAGGTAAGGTGGGATAGTGGGGATGCCCAGTTAGAGGTCAGGAACTGGGAGGGCCCCTCCACTTTTACCCTTTTGGGGAGAAGCCAATATGCCCAGCTATTTTCATGCTAAGACCCTACTTGCTGGGCTGCCTGTCACCCTCCTGGCTGCCTTTAACCTCAAGAGAAGACCCAGGAGTAGGCACAGGCCCTGTGGCATCATGCATACAGTTGATCTCCCAGAAGTATGTCAAGATGAGTCCCAGAATTTCCTGTTAGGTCAGGCAAATAAAAGAGAGCAAGAACCTACTTGGGTTACCTGTGGGGGTCTCCTACCAGGGCCCTGCAACACATCTAATTACACCCTACCCTCTATCCCTACAGTGACAATGAAGAGAAGGCCTTTGGCAGCAGCCAGCCATCTCTCAATGGAGACATCAAACCCCTAGGCAGTGATGACAGCCTGGCCGATTATGGGGGCAGTGTGGATGTCCAATTCAATGAGGATGGCTCCTTCATCGGCCAGTACAGTGGCAAGAAAGAGAAGGAGGCAGTAGGAGGAAATGACAGCTCAGGGGCCACCTCTCCTATCAACCCTGCAGTAGCCCTAGAATAGTAAGGTTCAGCAAGGTGAGGCAGGCCAAGCTGGGCCCAGGGCAAGAGGTGCAGGAGAGCCCAGGGGCCAAGACAACAAACCAATACACCATGCCACTGACCTGCTGAGCTTGGGATGGAGGCCCCTTCCTCTTTCCACAGCCCATGGAAAACTTGACTGGAGCAGAGGAGAGGAACTGTGGCTTTGAGTCTCCTTACCACCCACTACCCTTTTTATTGCCAAAACCCAGCTGCACCCTTTCCTGGGCATACGCTGCTTTGCCCCAGCTTGGGGCAGTTCACTCCCATATTAGGGATCTTCAGGTGCTGCCTTGCCAACCCATTTAGGCAGAGAGGCCACAGTTTGGTGGAAAGGATTAAGTAGTGTCCTCTGAAGCATCTCTGAGATGCCGTCCATCCTTCTCACTCTCTGACTGGGAACAGGCATGGTGGGGTCTCCTCAGGACTAGATAGAGACATCTTCTTTCTTCAGCCACTCCTTGGCTAGCCTGACTGGGGACAGAACTCTGTGTCTACCATCTGCTGTCTTTTCATTGCCATTTTTGCTTCAATCAGGATGGGGACCTGGGCAAGCTGGCCACCTGCATAGAAGAGGCCATCTGGAAAGCCCAGAGTGCCTCCCCCACCATAGCA